AACAGCACCCACCCCAGTACCGTGTGCACATGCAGATAACACAAGGGTACACAGCCATACGAATGTTAGGAAATTCCTTACATAGGTAGGTATGCTTAGAGAAAGTGATCGTGGTTGTTATAGCTGTCTGGAGGTTGTTCAGTAAAGAGAAATAATTTGAGTGGCCCATTCTGGGGAAACCTGTTTTTTTGTTGTAGGATCTGAGCTCTCATAACAGAGCCCTTATTCATTAGCAAAGTTTTTTTTACCTTCAGGTGTCTTTATAAGGTCTTCCGGGACTTCCCTGGCGGTCCAGTGGTTAAGACCCTGCTTCCACAGCAGGGGGCGCGGGTTCGATCCCTGGTCGGGAAACTAAGATCCCGCATGCCACGCAGCGCGGCCAAAAATAAAAGAAAAAAATAAAAAGGTCCTTCCTACATCTACCAAGGTTATTACTTTATTGTTTCAAGTTATTTCACATTTTATCTATATATTATCTATATTGTGATTTCTTTTGTGATAGCTGCCTGTTTTTATTTATTTTTATTGAGTGATCGTCTAGCTCCACGCTTCTCAAACTGAGGCGTACACAGCCCCTACAGTGGTGCACCAGGGGTTATATGAAGGTACAAGATAAACCTGAAGCATCTTTCCAGAGGGTTTATTTTGAAAATCTGCAAAGACAGTGCCATGGGCTCTCTTAACTGCCTACGTGAGACTCCTGACGCTGCTACTTGTCCTTTGGCTAGGTATTTAACCTATCTGTTCCTAAGTATTTTAAGCTGAAAACAGGAATACTACTGGTGCCTGTTTTATAGTTGGTTGTGAGAAATAAATGGGCTTTCAGAACAATGCCTAGCACATTATAAGCTTTCAGCAGGTATTAGCTGTTATATACCTTAATATTAGATTATTCATTTCCCTGTTGAGCAAATATAAGCAATGATGGAGAGACAGGAAATGCTGGGGGGTGGATTCAGATAGGGAGATCAGGGATAGTCTCATTGAAAAGGTAGACTTCTGAGTAAAGACTTGAAGGGAGTGAGGGAGTTAACTGTGGAGTCAGGGAGAAGAGAATTTCAGACAGAGGGAATAGCAAGTTCAAAGGCCCTAAGGTATGCCTTCTATGTTTAAAGAATAGTAGCATGAAGGCCAGCAGGGCTGGAACAGAGTGAGTGAGGTGGTAAGTAAAAGGAAAAGAGATGGGGGAGAGGCAGTGGATCGCTGAATGAAATAGGTAGTGATCATGTGCAGAGGAGTCATATGATCTGACTTATGTTTTTAAAACTGTATCCCAGTGGATGCTGAGTTAAAACAAGACCATAAGTAGGCAAGGGTGAAAGCAGGTAGGCTACTGCAATAATTCATCTAAGAGATGACAGTAGCTCAGGCCAGAGTGGTGACAATGAACGGGGGTGGTAAGAAAAAGGAATTCTTGATATACTTTGAAGGTTAGAGTTGACAGGATTTATCGTCAAATTAGATGTGAAATATGAAAGAAGGAAGGAGTCAGTGGTATTTCTGAAGTTTCTGGCTTGATTAAGCTGCCATTAATGGAGATAGGAAGAGTAAGTTCGGGGTAATGTCAGAAGTTGTTTCAGACAGAGTAAACTTGGGATGCCTAGTAAACATTCAAATGGAGATGTTAAGTAGGCAGTTAATTAAACTGCTTGAAATTCAGGAAATAAGTCCAAGTTAGAGTTACAAATTTGGGAGCTATTAGCATAGAATAATATTTAAAGTTATGAGGCTGACTGAGATCATCTAGGGAATGGTAAGGACAGAAAAGAGAGAAGGCCCAAGGTTTGAACTTTGAGGCTTTGATCTCACTTCTTCGGAAGAACAAAGAAGTGAAAGGTCAGAGAGATGAGGGAGAACCACCAAAGAATAAAAGGAGAGGTGGAATCCTAGTGTATTATCCTACAGTAAGTCAAATGAACCAAATGTTTCACAGAGAAGAAGGTGCTTGACAGCGGCAAACGCTACTGATACAGATCAAGGGAGACAAGGGCTGAAAGACCACTGGGTTTAGTAATGATGCTGTCACTGATGACCTTGACAGGAGGCTGACTGCAGTGGGGAAAATCCTGACTAGAGAAGACTCAAGCGAGAATGGGAGAGAAGTTGGAGTTAGCACATTTAAGCAACACTTTATTTTCACACTCCAGTTATCTCACATCTACTTGAAGCAAAAATTCCCCTTATCAAGTTATTTTCATAAAATAAATTACTCTCTGGGGGTGGTGGTGGGAGGAGGAGAGACACAGGTGAGGGAGATTAAGAGGTATAAACTTTCAGTTATGAAATTTTGAGTCACAAGCATAAAATGTACAGCATGGGGAATATAGTCAATAATTATGTAGTATTTTTGTATGGTGACAGATGACAACTAATCATCGTGATCACTTTGAAATGTACAGAAATATTGAGTCACTATGATGTGTACCAGGAACTAATACAGTGTTGTAGGTCAATTATACTTCAAAAACAAACAACGAGACTTCAGATTTGTGGCTATCAGAGGTGGGGGGGTCGGAATTAGATGAAAGCAGTCAAAAGGTACAAACTTCTAGTTATAAGATAAATAAATACTAGGGATGTAATGCACAACACAGTAAAGATAATTAACACTGTTGTATGTTGTAAATGAAAGCTGTTAGGAATAAATCCTAAGAGGGACTTCCCTGGTGTTCCAGTGGTTAAGAATCCGCCTTACAATGCAGGGGATGCGGGTTCGATCCCTGATCGGGGAACTAGGATCCCACATGCCGTGGGGCCACTAAGCCCACGTGCCTTAACTACAGAGCCCATGCACTCTGGAGCCTGCGCACCACAACTACTGAGCCCACCTGCTATAACTACTAAGCCTGTGTGGTCTGGAGCCTGCCCGCCACAACTAGAGAAGCCTGCACGCCGCAACAAAGAGCCCATGCGCCACAAAGAAAGATCTCGCGTGCCACAAGTAAGACACGAGATGCAGCCAAAAAAATAAATATTAAAAAAAAAATTAAAAAAAAAGAATAAATCCTAAGAGTTCTCAGTCAGAAGGAAAAAATATTTTTAAAATCTATTTCTTTAATATTGTATCTATATGAGATGATGGATGTTCAGTACTGTGGTAATCAAACCTACTGTGGTAATCATTTCATGATGTACATATGTAAATCAAATCATTATGTTGTACACCTTAAGCTTATACAATGCTATATGTCAATTGTATATCAATAAAACTGGAAGAAAAATATTACTCTCCATTTAAGAATCAGTAACTATCCAAACATAGGAAATCTATTCTGATGGAAGGAGAGTAGAAGAAAGGACTTTGAGGGAAGAACAGGAATTAAGTATCAGTGGAAAAAAAATACTGTTATATTAAAAATAATTTACTGCCAAAACTAAACAAAAATGGTTCCAGTTTAGTCACAGATATTTGGAAAATAAAGTCTCAGCACAATTTCTAGTGAAATCAGAATCACCCATGGAGCTTTAAAACACACACGAGCACCCATGCACACGTGCACCCAGGCTTCACCATTAAGAAGCTCTAATTGAGCAAGTGTGGACTGAATCTGGGCATTTTTATGTTTTGAAAGCTGCGTAGGTGATTACAGAATTTGAAAGCACCACAGCCTAGCTTGGGTTGTGAATCACTAGAATATAATTGTTTAAAACATAAAATAAACCAAAACAATCAGGCTCCTCTAAGAAACTCAGCACTAAAATCACTACTTTTAGAAATTCTAAAAAGGACAAGTGGTACTAGTAGTAGTAGGAGGCTACATGCTGCATGGGGGTGATGATGTAGCATTTTCCAATCTATAATACTTGGAACAATTCATTGGCGATATAAGGATGATTGAGATACATTCTTACTCTAAAGGACTCCAGCTAATTTACAAAACCTGCGTCAACAGTCAAGACAAACATCCTCTCCTTTTTTATCTGAATGATTTTAACAGTTTCCTACGGAAGATTAAATAACTTAAGGGGTCAAATAAAATGTGATATGATAGAAATTATCTCTAATTGAATTAATATAGATATAATTTAGTATTACGCCAATATTAACTAGTCTATTCCAGAAAAGGACAATCAAGTGAGATAGATTTAAAACTAATGTTCTCATTCACAATTCCAAACAAAGAGAAAGGTTGCACTAACTGATGTTTAAGGGAGACTGAAAGAAATAAGTATCAGGAACAGGATTCAAATTTCTCTTTGAGTTATTCAAGAATTCACAGCAATTTAAACTTTGTTATAAAATAAGACAAGTGATGTTGTATTAGAAAAATGAAGAACAGAGAATTCTTCTGGTCAAAGAAGGCAGATTTAATATATTAGTTCACTAATCTCTTATTAAAATGTGTTTTTATGAATTTTTATTTGAAGAAAATTTAAAGGGAAAATCTGCATCACTACAGGTGACAGAGTTACTGAAAAGAAAGTTTTTTTTTTGTTTTTTTTTTAAAAATTTATTTAGGCTGTGTTGGGTCTTTTGTTGTTGTGCACAGGCTTTCTCTAGCTGCGGTGAGCGGGGGCTACTCTTCGTTGCAGTGCACGGGCTTCTCATTGCGATGGCCTCTCTTGTTGCGGAGCACGGGCTCTAGGCACACGGGCTCTAGAGCACAGGCTCAGTAGTTGTGGCGTACGGGCTTAGCTGCTCCGCAGCATGTGGGATCTTCCCAGACCAGGGCTCGAACCCGTGTCCCCTGCATTGGCAGGCGGATTCTTAACCACTGCGCCACCAGGGAAGCCCAAGAAAGTTTTATAAACGTTAAGAAAACAAACAAATCAAGAGTTGATTATTCTGAAGATCTGATAAGGCTATCATTCAAGCTTCAAGTTATAAGATAAAACTGATATTCAAAATTTATATGAATACTCTCAAAGGTTAAGATAGTATTATTTCAGGCAACATTTAAAAGATAAAATGATAGTGATATCCACTTCTGCAGTGAAATTAAATGTACACCAATTAAGCCCAGAATGGAAAATGATCCCATTGCCAATATTATTATTACCTTGGGTGTAGGCAGCATCATCAGATCCCATACTCAACTTCCGTGCTTCACTTATTCTATCCACATGTGCTAAAGCAGGGTCCGTGAGGTGCTGAATATTCTCTGTTTCTACATAATGATCAGGATGGTTCAGAAGATTTGTAAGTTCAAAGGTAGGGGACACCACCCCTGGTGAAACTGCAGGGGGTTTATTGGGAGAAACTGTAATTTTGAAAGTATATTTTGTATTGGGTTGAGTGACCACCACTCGAGGAGAAGTTGCAGAGTTATTGCCTATTGCTCGACTTTTGGGAGGGTGGTGATGAATAAAGGCAGGCCCCATGCTCACTTGCCCAGACATGTTCCTGGAGGCAGCAGATGCTCCAGAGTTTGTGGATATGAAGAGAGTGGGCTGATTCCGCATGACCTGCTCATCTCCTGTGGTGGCATTAGCTGAAATATAGACCTTAGGTTGACTACGGGACATCACCTCATCGGTATTTGGGGGACTGGCAGCTATGTAAACAGTGGGCTGATTTCTGTTTAAGGTCTGGCTGTTGACCGAAGAGGAACTGCTGGAGGTTCGAGGTCCAGAAGAACGCAGTTTCGAAGAACTGCTTCTTTGCGGAGGTTCAAGTTTGATTTCAATCTGGTTTTTCCGAGGTCCTGTTGAAATATTCTGAATGTTATATTGGCTATGGGCAGAAGACTGTGAGCTACCAGACGAATGAATTGTTGGTGGTTGTGGAGTAGTAGGTGAACTGATGGGCATGTAGACATGAGAGGTCTGGTGGCCTTGCTGATTTGGCTGCTGGGCTGAGGTATGTGGCAGAGGATTAGATGCAGGATATGTAGTCCAAGGACCAGGTTGTGAAGGTTGATAAACTTGTTGAGGGTTCATGGGATTAAACTGAGATACCCAGCCAGAATGCTGTTGTGTCTGTCGAGTTGTACCACTAGGAGTTGTAATGTAGGGCCTAATATAGATAGAATTTCCCTGTGGACTGTTAAGTACAGGTGGAGGTACACCATGTATGTGCAAAGATGTAGGAGTATTACGACCAGTCTGGATATTTGGGGCTAAAGTTACCATAATGGGATTAAATCTTGGAGTTTGTTGAGAAAGGTTAGATGTTCCTTTGCTGCCTAAGTGAAATCCAAGATGTGGTGCTGAATTTGAAGCACCAGATGTACTGGACATTCCAAAAACATTAAAGCCTTGAGGAACTTGAGCTGGTGCTGTCTGTGGCTCCCGCTGAAATAGTT